CACAAACAGTTCAAGCTGAAGGATCTAGGTGAACTTAAATTTTTTCTAGGCATTGAAGTATTAAGATCTTCTGGAGGAGTTATTTTGAATCAAAGGAAGTATATATTGGAACTTATTGCTGAAGCTGGATTAACAGGTGCTAAACCTGCAGTTACACCAATGGAGTCTAATTTGAGATTAACCTCTGTAGAACATGATCAAGCAAATGGCTATGTTAATGATGATGTGCTGCATGACATTACTTCATATCAAAGGTTGGTTGGTAAATTGTTATATGCTACTATCACCAGGCTAGACATAAGTTATGCAGTGCAAACCTTAAGCCAATTCATGCAATCTCCCAAGAAATCACATATGGAAGCAGCTACTAGAGTGATTAGATATTTGAAAGGTTCAGTTGGTCAAGGTATATGGTTACACTCTGAACCTCCCAACATAATTACTTGCTGGTGTGATTCTGATTGGGCAGCCTGTCCTAACACAAGAAGGTCCATCACAGGATATGTGATTAAGTTTGGAGAATCCTTAGTTTCTTGGAAATCAAAGAAACAGCAAACTCTTTCAAGAAGCTCAGCTGAAGCTGAGTATAGAAGTATGGCATCAGCAGTCTCAGAAATTACTTGGCTTCTAGGATTATTCAAGGAATTAGGAGTGAATGTTCAATTACCTATTACAATCTTTAGTGACAGCAAATCAGCTATACAACTAGCAGCTAATCCAGTGTTACACGAAAGGACAAAACACATTGAGATAGATTGTCATTTTATCCGAGATAAGATCAAATCAGGAGAAGTGGACACTGCCTATGTTCACACACATCAACAACTCGCAGACATACTGACAAAAGGGCTGAGCCAAGTTTAACATGTGCATCTTCTAGGCAAGCTTGGAGTGATCAATATTATGCACTCATCAGCTTGAGGGGGTGTGTTAAAAGAAGTGAAGATGAGTTAGTTAGTGGCAGCAACTAACTATTCAAAAGTTAGTTAGAAGTTGAAGTTAGTTGGTAGTTAGTTAGGCCTATTATTGTAATTTCAAGTTAGTAGGTTGCTACATCGATTAATGTGTAGAGTTAGTTAGTTAGTTTGTATTTTTTTGTTTGCATTATCTGATTGCTATATAAGCAATACAGATCACGTGTACAGAATTAATTCAACAATTTTACTCTTTCATTCTTCTTCTTCTTCTTTGGTAAAAGCTTCAAGCCTCATCAATGGAGTAAGGCTTGGAATCTACTGTTTTTGTTCATCTACCCTATCATATATTTGAGGAAAAACCAAAATAGGTGTGTAGAAATATTTAAATTTAATGAAGAAATAGTTCGGTAGAAAAAGAGAGTTAAAAAAAAGGGTTAAAAAGAAAAGAAAATGTAATGAAATGAAAGGGAAATGTGAGTCCCATTAACATGTGGCAGCCAAACAAGACCTTATACAATTGAAAGTAATTGTATCTTGTCCATAATAAATTTTTTCCTTTTATATGATATGTCATAGTATACAATTCCATTCCTTTTTTAAAAAAATTATCATCCGGGTAAACATATATTTATAATTTTTAATATTAAATAACTATAAAAAAATAATTGTCAAATTTAAGTTTCAAACTGTTACATTCTCAAGGATGGTTGAATATTGCATATTTGCTTTACATTTTAATGTTTTTACTACAATAGTTTTATTAAAATAGACTTAATCAACTAGGTAGCTCTTTTAATTAGGTGTTGACTTCCATTTAAATTTTGAATAAATAGTAGTTTAATCACTTTTGGAGTTTGGCATTTCAGCGAATCTTTTTGCTTAATTTTAGCTTTAGAAGTTATTAGTTTTATTATAAATTATATTGTTAAACAGTAAAAAGTGATAAATCATTAATGTTGAATATTCATAAGCTTTCTTTCATTTTATTCATAGTCGTACGCTACTCTTTCACTATCAATTCGGATATATCCGAAACGAACTTGCTCATCTTTGTTCAAGAGTCAGCAACTATAGAAGGAGTATATTTTAATAATTGAGTAAATCTCAAAGCGTATTTTTTCACGCTCATGTTTTCTTGTCAGAGTTTAATAAACTCAAGCGTTTTTGCCTCCCTCGTCTCAAGAAGAAAGAATCTGATGCAATTAAGCAATCGGTAATGGAATTAGTTAATCTAGGAGATAGAACTCGATGAAGAAGATAGTCAAATCAGGTTTATAATTGAGAATTGAGGCTGGAGTGAATGTAGAAAAGAAAGAGAAAATCAAATATTATTTCATGAATGTGTCATCTTAATTTCTTGCAGTTGCTACATTTATAGAATTGAATCTAATAACATAATCTGAAATTATAACTGCTTTAGTTAACAGGTCCAACAAACTCTAAGTTGCCACATCACCTACTATTGTTGTCACCTCAGCTTGTGTACACCTAAC